AAATGGTTCCATTACATAAAAAAAAAAAAAAAATTATATCAACACAAACTAAAGTGAAAGTTAAAATGGGACTGACAGAGTAAAAGCAAACAGCATTTCTATGTCATCTTATATTCACTAGGAGAATGAGCAAACAGTGGTTGAAAGATTGCAATCGCTGAAAAGAAAATAAGTTGGTGTGTCCTTGCTTATCTCAATTGCTTAAATGTCCAGATTTTATTCTTGAGCATATCCACAGGTACATGCTCCTTACAGCGTTTAAAAAGAAATCACAATAGAATAACTCCACCTAAACTCAAGTAAATAAATCTGAATCAATAAACAAGAAATAAATACAAACCTTATGGATAATCCCCTTATTTTTCCTCACACATTGATGACCCAGAATTTGGTTTCTTTATTGGATATGTGTTAGTGTCTCTGTATGTGTCTGTCTCTGTGTATATTCCCAGATTAAAGTACTGTTGTAGTAGGTCAGGGACTAGGGGGACTGGGGGAGTGAGTGAGGAGGAATACACTCATCCATCTCAAGTCTTTTTACTATCATAATTTAGGGAAGTTCAGTTGCCCCCTTTGACCAGTCTTTGGTAACCTCAATGTGAGATATGTTTTCCTGTTCTGGATGCATATTTTTATACAAGTCGGGATGAATAGGCATGTCTCAATATCGAGAATGGTGCATTTAATGCGTAATTTACTGACTGGATGTTGAATTATTTAGTTTCTAAAGCTGATATAGAAGTTCATAAAATGTAAAACAATTATAAAGTCATTGATCAAAGCAGAAAATCGTCTTCAGCAGAACATAGAACAGAAAGAGACAGAAGAAACTAAGCTGACCTCAATTAGCTATTCCAAAATTTTGAAGCCTGTCACAGTGAGGTGTTGGGTGGTTCCTGTTCCATTGTCGTCTCTGTAGTTCTATATGACAGTAACGTTCAAGCGTATTTTTGTAATCTCTAATAGCACGGTCTTCAATTTTCTCTCGAGCAGGACTACCAAGAGGATAATTCTTATCAAATTGTGCCGATTTAAGAAAAAACACAACCCCATATTATCTGTCACCTTCTCAAACTGATAAAAGTAGTTTTTCTGCAAAGAATATTCAAGCTCCGAGAAAGGAATATAAGCAAGTAAGAAAATGATTAAAACGGTAACAATTGAAGGAGGAGAATTAAGTAAGGCCTGGAGGAACCTACATCCTTTCTCCGTTAATGGACATTGGTTCTTGTCCTGCAGACATAAGTCTTCCCTTATAATCTCTTCATCATCAAAATCATCTTCAAAATACTCATGCTCCATTCTTCTCCTCCGATGTCTAAAATTATACTGCTGATTAAACTCAAATTCTTCAACCATACCCGTCTCATCATACTGCCTCCTTGAATCATCATCACTCAAACACTTAAATGCCTTGGATACTTTCTTAAATGCCTTTTCAGAACCCGGAGCCTTGTTTTTATCAGGATGAACTTTCAAAGAAAGCTTGCGGTATGCCTTTCTTATCTCCTCAACTGAACAACCCTTCTCTAAACCAAGAATTGCATAATAGTTGATGTTTCGCTTAAAGTATATTCATATCTTACTTTTGTTTCGTGGATTTATGATGTGAAATGTGTTGATTTATGTTAATTTGATGTGTTTTTATGTGTAGGAATGATCCGGGAGCAATCGGGGGCGGAATGTAAGAAATTAGAGCCAAAACGGACAAAAACAGGAAAGTTGGACATTTCAGCGCCACAGGTGGCGCCTAGCCCTACCTGTGGCGCCAAAAACAGTAACCAAAAAAATGGCAGCGCCGTGGAGGGCGCCAGTGACGTGAATTTTCTCCAATTTCGTCTGGGGCACAGTTATTTCGACCCTAGACCTACCCAACACGTATAAAAGCAAGACTAAACTTATTTGTGAAGGGGGGAGACGCCACTTTGGAGGTAGCTAACATATTTTGGATGAGAATTCACGTAGAAGAACACAACCCACTCTTGGAGGAGGCTTCTAACTAGTTTTTCTTTTCTTCTCTTCTTTAATTTCATAGTTTATTAGTTCTAGAGTTTTGGGTGCTACATGAACGTTGTAGTTTGAAGCTTGAATTGTTCTTATTATTTTATCATATTGGTTTATTTACTCAATCTTGCGCTTAATTATTTGATTGCTTGATCACCAATTGAATACTATCTACGAATCTAGAATTGAACTCGGGAGAGGGAATTCGAAATTGCATATAAGATTGAGTAGAGCAAGATCTTAACTCTGGGGGGGGGGGGGGGGACGGATTTGCGGTTAGGATAGGAATATACCTAATCTCTTTGCGTGGTTACTATACAGGAATTATTAATGCGTTCTTGTTTATTCTAATTCCATAGGAATATAGGCGTTAGATTAGCTTGAATAGGCGAGTTGTACTTCGGGAGAAGGCTACGAGCAATATTAACCTTGTCAACCAATAAACCAGATAAATTAATTAGACGATTAAGTGAAAAACTCAACGGGATTGTTAGCTAACCCATAGCTCTAGAATATTCACTCACATTGAATTCGTCTCTATAATTTGCCAATTTGTTTCCTTTATTTCATAGTTTACTACTCTAGATTATCTTTAGTTAAATATTCATTACTTTAATATTCGCTTGAATAGATTAATTGTTTGGGTTTAATTTGGTTGATAGTTCATCACAAGTCCTTGCGGGTACGATATCTGAACTTACAATCCTATATTACTTGTCGACCACGTATACTTGCGTGTGCGTTTGGGAGCAACAAGTTTTTGGCGCCGTTGACGGGGACTTAGAAATTAACTATTCTACTAGATTGGATTTTTACTTTTTGCCTATTCAAGTTTTTATTTATTTTATTTTTAACTTAGTTTAATATTTTATTATCTTTGTTGACATGGCATTTTTGCCACGACCCTAAACCGACCCGGTTGAATGACATCAAATTTTGCACACAAGTAAGAAATGACACCACGAACCTACTCCAACTTTCAGAAATCCAATCCGACCCCGATGTCAAAATTTTCACTGTCGGCCAAAATCGCCAAAATTCTAACTTTCACCAATTCAAGCCTAATGCTACCATGGAGCTCCAAATCACATTCCGGACGCGCTCTTGAGTCCAAAATCACCTAACGGAGCTAACTGAACCATCAAAATTCAAATCTGAGGTTATTTGCACATAGGTCAACATCTGGTCAACTTTTCCAACTTAAGTTTTCAAATAAGAGACTATGTGTCTCAATTCACTTCGAAACCACTCCGGTCCCGAACCAACTAACCCGGTATATGATAATATAGCTGAAGAACACGAATGAAGCAGGAAATGGAGGGGGGGAACGGGGTTATAACTCTCGAAACGACCGGTCGGGTCGTTACAGATATGCATCTCCTGATGTATTTGATGGTCAAAAGCATGTAGCAGCAATCCATTTGGATCTTGAATGTTACTAGAACTTTGAGCAAGACATATTTGACATGCATGTCTTTGATCTCTTAATGAATATTTCAAGAGTTTTATGAAATTTCGGAGATCGTATATTTGATCTCTTTGTGCATATTCCAAGAGTTTATGAAATTGCTCAGATGATTTTTGAATGACGTATGTAGCCTTATTTATAGGCATGAATTAGTGTTTAGGTGGAGTAGTCACCAAGTAATCCTAATGGGTTCATGCTCTAGTCCAAATTGTTTATGCATTAATTTGACAAATTTTCAATGTGAAAAATATTTTTCGCCCTATATAAAGCAGGTAGTTAACTAATTTCCTCGAATTGAAAGGCTAATAGGTTATAGGTGAAAGAAAGAAGGAGCAAGAAGAGGAAGAATAAGAAGGAGAAAAAGTTTTTCTTCAATTTTTTTGGGAAACTTGTGTCAGTTTTGTCATGTTAATCTAATTTAGCGAACTTATTCTTATACCGATAATACCAAAGTGACATATATAACTAATCCATTGGGAAAGAAGCATACTTAAATGCTACTCCCTCCGGTCCAAAATAAGTAATTTTTTGGCTGTTTTCACACATATTAAGAAATCCATCTTTTAACATTAATTAGTAATGAAATTGACCATATTAACCTTTACTATCTCTTCATTTAAACACTCCTAACACATACTCCAACACTATTTACTTCAGGGGCAATGTAGGAAAAAAAATCAATTCATTCTTGAAAATCTAGAAAAATCAATTATTTTGGACCACAAAAAAAAGGCAAAAAAATTACTTATTGTGGACCAGAAGGAGTACCGATCAAATAAACGAAAATCTATAGTAATAAAAAATTTCAGATATTACGTACTCCTATAAGTTTAAAGCAGTACTAATTAATACTCATGCTCACGTATAACACACGAACTAGTTAAACTTCCGTTACGTTCCAATCATTTATAGCATGTTTGGCCGGACTTCTAGAATCAGTTTATTTTACAAAGTACTTTTCTAAAAAATATTTTTGGTGAGAAACTACTTGTGGTTCAATTTAAAAAGCAGTTTTGAGTAGCAATTAATATCTGGCCTAACATTTCAATAGTGTTTTTAAGTGTATTTTCTCAAAAGCACTTTTGGGAAAAAACTACTTTTCTAATTCCTTCTATTTTTACTGAAAAGCACTTTTTTTCTAAAAACTTGGGCAAACACCTTAAGTTTGGAAAAAAAATATTGAAATGAGGAGTTAATTGTATAGATGTATATATGATAGGGACCTAAGTGTATACATCTAGAAGTTAGGGGTGTTAGTATAATTATAGTTAGTTGATAACTGACTATTGGATACTGAGTATATATCTACACGTGTGTATCTGTTTTAGCTCAGTTGAGAAATTAATAAGAATAATTTCTTCTTCTTCAAAGCTTCTTCTAACATGGTATCAGAGCTATGGAGGAAGATCTGTAAGCTCGATTCAGTAAGTAGCTAATATCTCGTGACTCTGTTCTCAGTTCATCAGAAAGTTAATCGAACTTTCTCCTTTTTTTTCTCTGAACTATTTGAGCTTGAAATTGTACGATAATGACGGAAAAAACGAAGATAGATTACACTCATCCTTTGTTTCTACAGCCGTCCGATACTCTTGGATTGGTGTTGATTCCAATTCAACTCATAGGATCTGAAAACTATGGATTATGGAGTAGATCTATGCGCCTTGCTTTGAAGGCAAAGTGCAAATTAGGTTTCATTACTGGAACATGTCTCAAGGCTTCATTTCCAGATGAATTGCATGAAGAATGGGAGACATGCAATGCTATAGTGCATTCATGGATTATGAACTCAGTATCGAAGGATCTACTAAGTGGTATAATCTATGCCTCTGACGCACATGCAGTGTGGGAGGATCTTCAGGAACGCTTTGACAAAGTAAATCGAGTGAGAATTTTCCAATTGCACAGAGGAATCTCTAGGTTGACACAGGGATCTGATTCTGTTGCTGTATATTTCACAAAATTAAAGGAACTATGGGCTGAATATGATGTGCTTGTACCTTCTCCAAATTGTGGTTGTAAGAAATCGAAGGAATATGTTGTGCAACTGCACCAACAGAGATTGATGCAGTTTTTGGATGGATTGAATGACACATATGATCAAGCTCGAAGGAAAATTTTGATGAAGATGACTGAACCAACACTAAATCAGGTATATGCCATGATCACACAGGATGAGAGCCAACAGTCTGTGGGAGGCAGTGCTATGGCAGAGAAGGTAGATCCTATGGCAATGCAAGTTGGGAGAGGTCAAGGTTTTCGAGGGAAGAAACAGTTCCTACAGTGTGAGCATTGTCATATGAAAGGCCACACTAAGGAGAACTACTTCAAAATAATTGGATATCCTGAGGATTTCAGAGGAAAGAAGAGTTATCAATCTAAGGAGTATAGGCCCAAGGGACATTATGTTGCAGCCAACAATGTGGAGTTATCAGGATCTTCAAACTCACAAGGAACAACACTGCAGAAAGGAGACTATTTCTTTACTGAGGCACAGTACCAGCAGATACTTCACCTGCTTAATAGAGATGTTGCAGCTTCAGATACACAGACACAAGCAAACATGGCAGGTAACATTGTATCTCTTACTGCAAAAGTGTGTAATGATAATTGGATAGTGAATTCAGGGGCCACACATCACATAACATCATCATTAGATCTACTTCAAGATGTCAAGAACATAGATAATCACAAAAGAGAAAAGGCGAGACTACCAAATGGGGATAGTACTGATGTTACACATGTTGGTAGTACACAAATTTCTGCAGAAACTAAACTGGACAATGTGTTGTATGTCCTAGATTTTAAGTTCAACTTAATGTCAATCTCAAAGTTGACTATGGACTTACAGTGTGGTGCTCTATTCCTGCCCAAAATATGTGTATTTCAAGATCTTTACACTGGCAGGGTGAAGGGGATTGGTAAGGAGACTGGTGATCTTTATCTGATAAGAGGAAGGAGAACAACACAGATAGCTGCTCATATCAATTCAATGGAGAGAAATAAAGACAAAGATACTGGAGAACTCTGGCACAAACGATTAGGACATCCTTCATTACCAGTAATGCACCATATTTCTTTTCTGCATAATAAGATAGACAATGTTATACACAACAAGTGTTCTGTTTGTCCATTAGCCAAGCAGCATTAGCTAGCTTTTCCAAATATTGAACATTTAAGTACTGCACCTTTTCAACTGGTGCACATGGATGTATGGGGACCTTATTAGGTAGCTACTCATGATAATAAGCACTATTTCCTTACAGTAGTTGATGATTTTACTAGAGCAACCTGGATTTTTCTTATGCAATTGAAAAGTGAAATAATTATATTCCTCAAACAATTTTTTAGTATGGTGCAGAATCAGTTTGGTGTTTGTATTAAAACTGTTAGAACAGATAATGGGAAGGAATTCTTTAACCATCAGTGGAATGATTACTTGACAAGACATGGAGTCATTCACCAGAGCAGCTGTGTGCACACTCCACAGCAAAATGGAGTGGCTGAGAGAAAACACAGATATATTTTAGATACAGCAAGGGCCTTGAAATTTCAAGCTGGCATACCAAGTAGATTCTAGGGAGAATGTGTTCAAACAGTTGTTTATCTCATAAACAGATTGCCCACTAAGGTATTAGATGGTAAGAGTCCTTTTGAATCATTGTATGGAAGACAACCATCATTATCACATCTAAAGGTCTTTGGATGTCTATGTTATGCCACAAATGTAGTCAAGGAAGACAAATTTGGTCCTAGAGCCAGAGAAGCAGTCTTGATGGGATATTCCACTACTCAAAAGGGATATAGACTATTTGTTCGAAGGACTAACAGTTTTTTTGTAAGCAGGGATGTCATATTTAGAGAATCAGTATTTCCTTTTCTTACTCCACAGCATCAGCAACCCATGCCTAACAATCATCTACCTGGGCACTTAGATGATGTGTTTGAGGTAGCACAAATGGAGGAAGCAAACAACACAGATGCAGTTGCAGATGTCACTCAAGATGCAAGTGACAGCAATGAAGAATCAGAAGAACATGCAGATTTACTAGATGGAGCTGATCATGATATAGTTGATAATGAAGACTTATCAGGAAGTGATGCAGGCCAGATATCAGATGCAGTGATTCCAGTATCAGATGCAGGCCAGATATTAGACGCAGTTACTCCAGTTGATCCCTCAATTACACATACAACTTCTGCTCCTACTAGACAGTCAACAAGAACCAAGGCTCCTCCTATTTGGATGCAAGATTATTTAGTTGGTGGAAAGAAGAACTCACAATGCCTTTATCCAATGTCAAACTTCCTATCCTATGCTAATGTCACAGCACTACAAGGACTACATATTGGATTTTTCAACTGTTGCAGAGCCACATAATTTCAAGGAAGCAGTGGAGGATGACAGATGGATACAAGCTATGAAACAAGAGATTCAAGCATTGGAGGACAACAAAACTTGGGTTGTGGTGGATCTGCCACCAGGGAAATCTTCTATAGGCTCAAAATGGTTCTATAAAATCAAGTATAAAGCCAATGGAGAGGTAGAAAGATTTAAAGCTCGACTTTTTGCCAAAGGATACAATCAACAAGAAGGACTGGACTATCATGAAACTTTCTCACCTGTGGCTAAGATGGTGACAGTTAGATCAGTGATTGCATTAGCTGCTTCCAAGGATTGGCATCTATTTCAGATGGATGTTTTCAATGCATTTTTACAAGGAGACTTAGAAGAGGAAGTGTATATGGACCTACCACAAGGCTTTCAAAGCCAGGGGGAGAACAAGGTTTGTAGGCTGCTTAAGTCTCTTTATGGACTTAAACAAGCATCGAGACAGTGGAATCTCAAGCTCACAGAAGCCTTGATAAGTGCAGGGTTCAGCCAAAGTTCATATGACTATTCCTTGTTCACAAAAAGGGCTGGAAATGATATAGTGATAATCTTGATATATGTGGATGATTTATTGCTAACAGGAAGCAGTATGCAGCTTACTGATGAAGCAAGGTCAGTGCTACATAAGAAGTTCAAGGTGAAAGACTTGGGAGAATTAAGATACTTTCTAGTAATTGAAGTATTAAGATCCCAAAAGGGTATTCTCCTCAATCAAAGGAAATACACTATAGAGCTTATTTCAGAAATGGGGCTGAGTGGTGCTAAACCTGATGTCACTCCTCTAGAACTTAATCAAAAACTGACTTCTATTGAGTATGACAAAGGAGTTGGAAGTCAAGATCTTGATCCTGCCTTGAGAGATGTCACTAGCTATCAAAAACTAATTGGGAAATTGCTATATCTTACAGTTACTAGACCAGACATTAGCTATGCAGTACAAGTTCTAAGTCAGTTTATGCAAGCCCCAAAGAAGTCTCACATGGATGCTGCTACTCGCGTAGTAAGATATCTTAAACAAGCACCAGGAATGGGGGTGATCATGCGAAGACATCAGGAAGCAGCCTTGGTTGGATTTTGTGACTCAGATTGGGCAGCATGTCCTATGAGTCGAACATCAGTTAGTGGCTATCTTGTGAAGTTTGGGGATTCTTTGATCTCTTGGAAGTCCAAGAAGCAGCATACAGTGTCTAAAAGTAGTGCTGAAGCAGAATACAGAAGCATGGCATCTGCAGTGGCTGAGATTGTGTGGTTGAGAGGTCTGTTTGCAGAACTTGGAACTCCAATTCAACAACCAGCTAGGTTGTTCTCAGATAGTAAGGCAGCAATTCAGATTGCAGCTAATCCAATCTTTCATGAACGTACGAAGCACATTAAAATAGACTGTCACTTTATCAGGGAGAAACTCAAAGAAGGCATATTGTGCACTCAGTATATACCCACGCACCTTCAGCAAGCTGACATCTTTACTAAAGGATTAGCATCTCCACAGCATCAGTTTCTACTTAGCAAGCTTGGTGTGTTAAATATTTTACACCTTCCAGCTTGCGGGGGAGTAGTGAAATGAGGAGTTAATTGTATAGATGTATATATGATAGGGACCTAAGTGTATACATCTAGAAGTTAGGGGTGTTAGTATAATTATAGTTAGTTGATAACTAACTATTGGATACTGAGTATATATCTACACGTGTGTATCTGTTTCAGCTCAGTTGAGCAATTCTTCTTCAAAGCTTCTTCTAACAATTCCTAATTGTTCCATGTTGCGTCGTCCACATATCAAGCTAAACTCCTTCATATGTAATGTAGCAGTTACAAAAACTGATACCATAGTTACACATTTTATAGTAGTATTTATGAGCATTAAAATGAGAAACTATAATGCGTAGAGATAAATCAAACTAACTAATTACCTTATCCTAATTAAATGACTTTCAAAGAACTCTTGAGTCACTTCACCTCCCGAATTACATAATAGAGGAAAACCAGGTAATAGAGAGAAATGATCTAAATTGGGGATCAAATACAAAGTATTGTAACATAGCCCCCCCAAAAAAAAAAGATGAAGAAGAAGAGAGATACTCTCAACTATTAATCCTCTAAAATACAAGCTTAACTACCGTAAATCAACAGTTTATCTGATTGAGAAAATAATATTTCTTGAAGGGTATTTACAAAAGAGAAAAAAGAGGAAACATTGAATATTAAAAGAGAAAACCGTGATATTCCGCATTGCAAGAAAGAACCAAAAGAAAATGGAGTAAAATTTCACAACAAACTTCAATCATGCATTGATACTCGTAATTGTCAATAGGAAAAATACTTCGGCTACATTTTTGTTTTGAGGAGAGTACGGAAGAAGATGAACATAGACATTAATATGAAATAATTGGCAGAGAATAAATACAATCTTCCCAAATTCCACATATTAAAAGGAAGAGCACAAAATAGAAAAACCGTCACTAAATAGAAAAAAACCGCAGGAAACCGTCAATCTTGGAACATAGCAGTTATTTCTTTCCGTCGGTAGACATTAAAAAGCCAATAGTTGACAAAAATGATAATAAATAAGCAATTAAAAAGGGGAAAAATAACTGATTTTGAATTTGAATTTAAAAATAGCTAAGTAACTTATTATAACTAATTTAACTAATTTCATCCTAAAACTACCAGATGTCTTTCTCCTAGATTGCCACTTGGCAAAATCTTAAGGCTGACTTCTTTCCTTTTAAGTAAATATAAATAGATATAAAAGTAAATATAAATAGATATAGATAAATGGACAGATGAGGTAAATATCTTGATGATATATTAGTACGAAATATGCACAACATGTAGTGTGTCGCAATAGTATATATATAGTAGTACTACTGAAAGGCACGCCACAGCAAAGTATTTGGTGTCTCTGTTTCCTTGAAGCTTTATTTAGTGACTATAAATCAATTCTTCAATAACTCTTTTAGGGCTAAACGAGAAGATAAAAATTAACACAAGAAGTTATGGGTAACTGCCTTAATCTCTCCATTACGCTTTTTGGCCCGCAAAGGTTGGTTGAGTTAGTTGGGTAAGTAATTTCCCACATGAGAAACATGGGATTAGTTTCCCACACCAACAACCTCCTCAGTTAGAGCTCGTCGCACTAGGCTTGCCTAGTGCGGTTTACACTTGTGTGGTTTGGGGGCTATTGCAAAGCCTAGTGCGGTTTACACTTGTGTGGTTTGGGGGCTATTGCATAGTGAGCAGGTTACCCAAATGCGCACCCAAAGGATAGCGACTGCGGGTCTCCCGGAAATTTTCCAAAATAAAAAATTTCATCTATTTGTAATTTTATTTCTATTGGTAAAATTCTTGAGCACTTTCCACTTTGAAGGTTTTTTTTTTTTTTTTTAACGTATGTTTACTTAAAGAAAAAGTAAACTATATGGTAAAAATTCTAGTTTTAAAATTTATACTTGTTACAACCTACATGGGGCAACTAGTGTAAGTTTATATAGTAGCAGTATGCTCCATTTTATCGACAAATTAACTGGTGATCAGTGGTTACCTTCCTAGATCTCAATTTTTTTATTATATATAGAGAGAGAGTGGATAACATTTATTGTGATGGAATATAATAATATATATGATGACTTTTAGAGTAAGATACGATTATCTAGAAATAAGCAGGTTGTCTAAGACTATTTCCTATTTGCCTTCTACTGTGTCTCCTAATTAAAATCTGGCAAGTGCGTGTTCATGCATGCCTTCTCCTCAAGAACTTG